GGGGCCCACCAGGCCTTTGCCCCATACAATAAGCCCTCACTTTCTAGGGCTAGGTCTGCATCCAGGCTGAATACTACCAACCCTTGGGGAAAATAACACCCGTTATTGTCCATGTTTTTGATAGTAGCCATCTTAATGAGTATGAGGTGATAGTTCATTGAGATTCTATTTGCATCTCCCTAATGACTAGTAATGTTGAGCAATTTTTCCTGTGCTTATTGGCTATTTGTATATCTTTTGGGGGGAAATGTCTATTCAAGTCCTTTGTCCATTTTTTAATCAGATTATTTGCTTTTGCTTTTGTTGTAGAGATGTATAAGTTCTTTGTATATTCTAAATATATGTTATCAGATATATAATTTGCAAGATTGTGTCCTTTGATGCACAGTTTTAAATTTTGATCCAGTTTGTCTCTTTTTTACTTTTGTTGTCTGTGCTTTTAGTGTCATATCCAAGAAGTCACTGTTAAATCCAATATCATGAAGATTTTCCCCTATGTTTTCTTCTAAAAGTTATAGTTTTAAATTTTATGTTTAGGTCTTTGATCCATTTTGAGTTAATTTTTTTAATATAATATAAGGTAAGGGTTCAAATTCATTTTTTGTCATGTGGATACCCAGTTTACTATAGTCTTGTCACCAATTAACACTAACTGGCTTTAGGTTAGGGACAGTTATGTGAGAAAAACTTGCTACTTAGATTTATAACTTTTTCTGACAAAAGATCATTTATGTCATTTAAAAACATTAAATATCAACTCACTTCATTTGATCTTTTCAAAGGTGTATTCTACACATGTTCACTTATCTAAACTAAGGGCTTGCTGCATAAAACTTTTATTTAGGAAAGTATTCATACCTAAATATTCAACCCCCAGACCAGTTATTTTTTCCCCTGAATCTTCAAGTAATAGCTGGTTTTGGAAATTTTAAGTTTATGCATGAATTTTGAAATATTTGTTCATCTAAAGGTATGGGCAGAAAAAAGTTCCTGTAGGAAAAAAAAGAAAAAAAAGAAAAGAAAAAAGTGCCCATAAAATTTCATAGAACAGAGAGAAAAAATAAGTAAACCATTTGAGAAGAAAGTCTACAAACAGTCAAATCCTCAGAAACTTTCCCCATACTGCACTTTCTTTAAAAAAAATAACTGCTATTCTCAAATCAAAAGTCAAATAGATGACTCAGGTATCACTAATTTTTCTCAACTAGTTTAAACTATAAAATAGGCACAGTTTTTATTTTATCAACTTGACATTATTGCCATTAATGAAGTTATTCTATAATGTGGAAAAAATAAAATGATCCTCCAACTATTAAACATTTCTAGATTATTGTATAGCAAAACATTAATTTTGATCATCAAACCAACAATTTTTCTTTCCATTATGCTAAATAATTCAATTATAAACTGCAAACAAAATACAAACTACAAATATATTGTGGTAAACACTATTTCTTGTCAAATTGGTAATCATATCATCTAACTTGAATAACTACATTGGCATATAAAGGCTCCACTATCTTTTAAAAATTGTTTCTACTCTATTCCATTTTAAATACCAACCAATATCCTTTAATAATATTAATACACCACCAAATTGCTTTCTTCGTAGAACAAAGACAAGCACTTTAAAGCTTGTAAAGTGACTAATTCCTAATGTTGTCAAATTAAGTTAAGCAATTTAATGTAATTACTAAATGTACTGACTTCTTTGAAAATTGTAGCAATTAGAGAAACTGTTTCACTGTCTTTTATAATTTACATAAATAACTTGGCTTAAGCAAAGTTGTTTGGGCAGGCTGGCACCTTTTGAGGGGAGGTGGGGGCCGAATTCTGGTAGCCATGCTTGAAGTCATAGCTAAATCCAAGTGTTTGGTCATAGCTTGCATTCATCCAAATCAAATAAAGGCATTTGATAACATAAAATCGAAGCTCTTTCTATCTCTGATTTTGAGCTCATATTGTTAAAGTAGTGCACATTCTTATTTTGCTTATAGCCGCTACTGTCAGTGTTAAGGGAAGTTTTCACTATAGACAAAACAACTTTCATATGAGCTGGGCAGCCTTAGAATTTCCCATTGCCTGGAGAGGGCCTACTATTTTATACTTACTATTAAAAGTCTAACTATAAGTCTCCTGAACAGGCTCAAACATAAGGCTGCAATCAAGGTATTGACCAGGGATGCAGTCACTTCAAGTTTCAACCAGGGAAGGATTCACTTCCAAGTCCACTCACGTGGCTGTTGATGGGCTTCAAGTCCTCACTGACTGTTGGTCAGAAACATCAGTTCCCTTGCCATGTGAACCTCTCCAAGGGGCTACTCACAACACAGCAACGTGCTTCCTTCAGAGTGAGGACAGAGAAGGGGAGGGGAATCAGAGCAAGGGAGTGAAAAGACAAGCAAAAAGAAAAATCAGTTTTTTTGTAACCTAATTTCGGAAATGACATCTCAGCACTTTTGCTATTTTGTATTCATTAGAAGTGAGTCGCCAGGTCCAGTTTACATAAAAGGGGAGAAGATTACACAGAGGGCATGCATACCAGACAGTGGAGATCATTGGAGGCCACTTTAGAAGATGACCACTATAAGGAATGAGGAAGAGGAGGCATTGTGGTATTAGTGAAATTGGGAAGGAAAGAAAAGGTCCAGGTTTGGAAAAGTTTTGTTTGGATAGTGAGTTCGAAAGGACAAGGTGCCTTTAATTCAATAAACAAATATGTGTTTATAAAATAACCACTATGTGCCAGGCACTACTCTAAAAGATGAGATATAATAATTAACAGAAAAAAGTCCTTATCCTCATGGAATTTACCTTCTAATAGTTGGAGATGATAAATTCAGATGATAAGGGAAAGAAAGAAAATAACATAGGACAAAGTTGTAGGTTTCTCTTTAGCTATGTCATCAAAGCACCCTTTTCAGAGACTCAGGGAGATTGTTAAAAGCCTTAAGATGTCTCCTAGTTTCCTCCTATATTCTCATTGTACTGTTTGCCTCTCTTATAGCATTTTTCAAAAACCATTTTGTATTATAGTGCATGTCTGCCTTTATGTTAGGCCAAAAAATGCCGTGTCCCACTCCCCAAAAGATATTTATATCTATTCCCTGGAACATGTGAATGTTTCTCTATTTTGGAGAAAAAAAAAAAAGTGTCTCTGCAGATGGGGCTAAGTTAAGAATCTTGCAATAAGATTACCTTGGATTATCCAAATGGGCCTTAAATGCTATCACAACTGTCCTTTAAAAAGACACAGAGGGAAAGACACACACACAAAAGGAGGCAGTGTGACCATAGAAGCAGAGATTGGAGAGATGCAGACACAAGCCAAGGAAGGCCAATAGCCACCAAAAGCGGGAAGAGGCAAAGAGTAGATTCACCTCTAAAGCCTCCCAAAGGAATGCTGCCCTGCTGGACAAACTGATTTTGGACTTTAGATCTCCAGAAATGTGAAAGAATTTCTGTTTTAAGCCACCCAGTTTGTGATAATTTGTTACAACAGCCACAGGAAACTAATATACCTTTCCAATGCTATTCCCTATAACTGGACTCATGATATTTACCACAAGTTGGAATTACTTGTTTGTACACTTTTATTGTGTCTCATTCCATTAATATGTAAGCTCTAAGAAGATGGGAGCCTTCTTTCTACACCTAGCTCTTAGCATAGTGTATAGAATACATTGCGTTCTTGAGAATTATGTTAAATGAATGAATTCATGAATGTCTTCCTTTAGATAACAAGTTTTGTAAGACAGAGACCATGTCTATTGATCGTAATTCCCAAAGCTCCCAGTACAGAGCTTTGCCAAAAGAAAAATGTTGAACTAGGTTTGAAGTCTAGAAATGAGGAAGTCTGGATTCTAGATGTTGTACTGCAATTTACAGCTATGTGATAGCCTCACCTCTATCTTGTACACATCTAGTATTATACTTAATATGTTCAAGTTTGTTCCTTATCCACTCTTCTAAGACCTAATATGGAGCAAATACAGATAGCATTAATTTTCTAATCTTGTACGTGATCCACAAGTGCTTAGCATATTGTAGGGACAAAAAATATTTGAGACTTTTGGATGAATTAGAATAATATCAGCCTGTCACAACCAAAAGTCAACATTGCATCCTTGAGTAAATTCCTAATCAACTCTAAACCTGAATATCCTCAACTGAAAGCTTGAGAATCTCAACATTCTCAACTAACGCATACCTCACAGGGTTGCGTACCTGTGAACTACTTAGTCTATGGTGGCTACATGAGTGGTACCTAATTAATAATAACCCTATGCTACTGACCTAACTCAACTTTTAGTACAATATCAGAAAAAAGCTCCAAACCAACTCCATCATTTACTGGCCATGTGCTCTTGGGCAAGCTATTTTACCTCCCTGAGTCAGTTCCTTAGCCAAAAATCGAGAATACCTTCTTTGTAAGAACAGTTCTGACATAGAAACTAAATGAAGTAACCAAAACTTTAGGAGATTAGCTCAGTAATGTATGTAATTATTTGGGGCAAAAAAAAAATCCTTGTTTTATTAACCTTGAATAAATACTCCCACTTCCTTGGGCCTTCTAAAACAATGCAAGGGCCTCACAGACCCTATTACGGCCTCAAAGAAGCCAAGTATGGGAACCTTCTAACCAAAGCCCACACAATTCCATGACTCATTCCTTCAGCAACCTACCAGTTGTCAGTATTTACAACGAAGAGAGAACAAGTTGAGGTGACAGGTTTTTTAGAAGGGTCCAGCACCTGTGGTAACTCTTAAACCAGGCAAAGTTTAAGCTTTTTCGCTGACACAGGTCAGGCCTAAGGAGAGCGCGCGTCATAGGAGAGCGCGCGTCACAGATTGGGCGGTCCACTGTCTCTCGGAGACTCCCTAAGTTGCCTGAGTAACGCGACGTCACCACGTAGCCTCACGTGCCCGTTGGCGCCTCGTGAGAGCCAATGGGCGCAGCCGGAATGTTGTCGCCGCTCAGCCCCGCCCTTTTCCGAACGGATTCTGGGGCGGTGCAGGGCCGTGCGGCAGCGGGAGCACGCTCGCCTTTCCTGGGCGAGCGGGCGGTTGTAGGTGCCACCGCGGCTGGGCACCCTGTCACGTAGGGTTCGCTCACAATCATTCTCCAGAGTCCGCCTGGAGCCCGCCCAGGCAGCTGCGCCCTCCCACTCTCGGGCACCCTGGAGGCAGAGCCGAGATGTTGCGGGTCGGGCTCCCGAGGTGGAGTTGACCTGGGGCTGAGAAGAGCCTGACCGAGCACGAAGCCCTTCCCTGCCGGTGGGGCCCTTAGATTCCTGCCCGCCGATTTCCAGCCGTCAGGGTCACTCTACTCGCTGGAAGCCCTGTACTCCGTGCCCCCTAAGCCCCGGGCCCCCTGCGGGAATGTTCAAAAATGAGTACCAGGTAACCCGAAACGGCTCTCCAACCTGTCTATAGCTTTCTTCTCCTGGGTAACGTAGCTCGTGTTCGGGGTGAGGACAAAGCTTCCCCCATAACCCCATAATACGATCTTTTATTCGGGATAAGAGGGAATTAATGGTCGAGTGGTCTTGCCCCAAAAAAAGAAAAGTGAAAGAAACTAACGTCTGGGCAGATGATTTTACTTTCTTCAGTCTCCAACCCAGTGCTTCTGAAGGCGTATGGATTGCCTGAGATTCTAATTGAAATGCAGATCTTAAACCCCAGACTCCTGAATCAGAATCTTAAGGGCAGGGCCCATAAATCAAGTTTTAGCAAGCGCCTTGGGTACTCACTGCCGAGGTACACTGATATGTCAGAAGCTATGTATGTAGAAGAGAGTGAATGCATGAATGGGTTAAACCAAGAAAGAAAAAAAAGCTCTTTGACTATATGCTATTTTTTTTCCCCCAAAACTGGGGCGTCAGCGATTCTCCAACACTGGAGTATATTAGGATCACTTGGGGGTACTCGTAAAAAAATGCAGATTTCTTGACTCTCACCCCAGATCTAGTGAATCAATCCCTATAGATGAGGCTAGTTTATTTATCTATGTAACTGCTTCCCGCAGTTACATAGATCCAAAGATCATAGGAGGAAACGGATTCTGGGTCTTCCTCAGTCACCTTACGTATCCTAGAGTGTCTTCATGCATGACTTGCTTTCCTCACCTCGCTGGTCATTTCCTTACGTTTCCTTTATCCTAGTCTCCTGCCCACCGCCCTCCCCACCTCTACCTTAAGTTACAATCAGTTTTGCATCCCTAGTTCTGTTAGGATGAACAATTCATCTCTGTGCCATCCCTGTGCTGTCCCTGTGCAGTCCCCCGTTCGTCTCCAACTCTGTTGCTTCTGCCTTTTCACCACGAAACACTACCTGACTTCTCCTGAGTTCCCTGAGAGTATTCTGCACTTCTTTCTTCTATTTCAATTGTTAGAACAATTTTAGAGTGTTTCTCTCAGTATAGATAATATATATTGTTTTAAAAAAGCATGCGCCTACTGTGGGAAACTTCGAAAACAGGAGAAAGCAGAAGGAAAAGGGGAGGGCCAGTTTTCTATCTCACCAGGTATAAGGATTTTTCTTAAAAAAACAAACAAACAAAAAAAACTGCCTTAAATTTAAAATTCATAGTGAAATATGATCTCACCCTAGCAGTTATAATTCTGTCCCATACACAGTTTGCACATAATACTACCTAAGGAGGAGGAAATGAAATATCTTAACTTTTAGTGATTATGTGTTAAAACTCAGAAGCAAAAGTATCTTTATATTATTGAGAAAAATTAAAACCTGGAAATTCTTTACAAAATCAGATTTGCTCATGTGCTGGTTATAATTCAAACAGACCATAAAAGAAAAACCATATTTAGTTTTTATTTCAGATTCTCAATTTATTGCAAAAAATTCTTCCTCAGATATAATCATCTTATTTAATTACTTTCCTTTATAATGAAAGCTTATGCATTAGTGTTTTTACGTAAGTATGTTCCTCCATGTTCTCCTCAGGGTTATAATAGGGAACACATAGCATATCTGTAGATATGATTCTCGGTTTTTCTTGCACAGATTTCATAGATCTTCAAATTAATTTATATTAAATATATAAAAAAAATCTCTTAGGAATGCTCAAAACAAGAATCATTGTCCCCTTCACTCCCTCTCAAACATTTTTTTGACCAGTATTAAACTATTTGCCCTTTTTAAAAAATAATCATTACTGGCCATATTGATCTCTTGATATTTGCAAGGTATTGTGCTTGATGTTTTATGTTTACTATCTTGTGTAATTCAACAACCCATTTTACAGATGAAGAATCAAGACGTTAAGTAACTCCAAGGTCAGATAGTTAATAAATGCCAAAGCTGGTATTGGAGCTTGGGTCAGTATGATTAAAAAGCTTGTAGCCAGAGATAATTATCAGAATATAGTCTGGATTAAATAGAATGTTTTATAAGCATGATCTACATATATGAGATAAACGAACTTCACATTGAGAGACTAATGTTTGTGTGGCACAATTTAATGTTTATCATGCATTGAAAAAATTCCTTAAATCATCAATCAAGGTGACCCAAATCAGAACTGCTGTGGCTTAGATATAATCAAGGTATAAAGTAAGAGCAATAACAGGGATAATGTTTCCTCCCAGAAACTGACAGATGCCTGGAACAGTGGTTATATATTATGTGGTGGGTAGTATTTTCTCCTCAGCATTGTCTTTCACTTTAATTTAAATATTTCATTTTTTCATTTTCTAGGGAGGTGCATTTGTTGAAATCTTTAGTGCTCAGGGAAAAAATCCTGGAGCAAAATGGAAGATTCTTGGCAGTCCATCGGTGATTTGGAAAGTAAGTGTTAGAAATTAGAGCCACCTAAATCCTGGAAAGAAATGAGAGTGACGATTCTAACAAAAAGGGCTTGATCAGATTTCAGAACTGGTTTTCCTGTTCATTCACTCCCACATCCTTTCATGACATTGGTGGCTGCAGTCCTCCCAGACACCACTCCTCACTTGTTTAAGACTTTAGCATGTGGTTCATAGCCTTTCTCTGTATACCAAGTCCTGCTGCTATCTTAAATGGCTTAAGGATCTATGAGGAAAATCTCTCCATACTCTTGGCTTCTCAGTTTCTTGATTTCTTCATCTCTGATGACCTCTTTTACTCTAGCACCCATTCCCCCGTCACACCCTGTACTTTATCACTACAAACTGTAGAGCCTCTGAAATTACTAAGTGAGACATTGAGACATCCCTCTCCCACCCCATCTTTAGTTCTTAAGGCTGCTTGTCCAGTCACTCAATACATTTGTTCTTCAACCTAATTAAGACCCTTAGTCCATTGGCCATTCTAGTTTCCCCTGTGTTTAGATTTATTTATTTGTCTATTTTCTCTGTCTTCACTTCTCTCTAGCCCAGAATCCATAGCCCATAATTTCAGTTACTTCCTGGTCAAGACCTTGAATGTCCTTGCTCCTTGTTGTTTCACCATGCCAGCCTAACAAATGCCAACCCTTCTTGAATCTCTAGTTATCTTTTATGTGCCTGTATCTGGGCATCTCAGTACCTTTGGAGAAAACATCTATAGCTTCTCAGATTGCTAATACTTTAAATTCAACCTATGTTCTCGTGGTATCTAAAATAATTCTCCATTATCTTGAGGTTTTCAACCACCAACTTCCTACCCCTTGCCCCACCTGTATCAGACAGACCCTCCTCACTCACTCACCAGAAGACTTCAAGCCCCGTTTCACGGGGAATACCAATGCCATCAGGTAGAAACTACCTCAGCTCACTGTCACTCCTATATCCACCCCTATCTTTTCCTCTTCTCTCCTGTACAGTTGAGAGAAAATGCCTTTTTAGGGACCTTGTTTTATGGATAACTTTTAAAAACTACTTTTCATTGAGTACTTACTGTTTGTCAAGCGTAGAATTAAGTATATTACATGTGTTATGTAATCTATACAATAGCCTTCATGCCCATTTTATAGATGATAAAACTGAAACATGGAGAAAGGCTTCCTGGAGGAAATGACATTTGATCTCTAAGTGCTAACTAGGCACTGGATGGGGCTGGTGGGGAGAAGAGCATTTCAGGCAAAGGGAAAAGCATGTACAAAGTCTTTGTGTCAGAAGAGAGCTTAGAATTTTTAAGAAACTGCAAGAAGGCTAAGGCTAGGGTGCAGAGAGAAGGGAGAGTACAAAGCAGGAGATGAGGTTTGAAAAACTGGGTAGGGACCAGACTACACAGGAGCTTATGGACCATGTTGAAGATTTTGGTAAGCTGTTGAAAGGTTTTAATTTGTGTATAGATGGAATAAATAATACACTCAGTGTGTGTATGTTCATTTCAATTATGTGAGAGATGCTATTGTGATGAATATAATAACAAATTCAAATGTTACTTAATTCTTAGCCATTAAATGCATTTCTCAACATATAAAAAGCAAGAGTGGGAGGATCTGTGAAATATTTTAATGTAAAAGGGGTCTTTATACTCAAAGATTTGGAATTTGCTCTAAGATAAAAACAAAAGTAACCATTTACATTACCTTTTTGACTCATGGAAATTGGACACTCATGTGTTAGAGGGATATCCAGGTTTGCTCCATTTTGTTTTGTTTCTGTTTTTCTGACCTTACTTTTTTAGGTTACCTTAATTGTATCACTTTTGTTTGTACTGTTTTTAAGTAAATGATATAGAGCTTCAAGTTAGAGCACTATTCAGTAAGGCAATGATTAATTCTGTATGAGCCATGGCCAGAAACCAAGGAATTTCCAAACCGATACAACCTAAGTTAGATGATTTATTGTACTATCGAGGGAGAGATGTTCAGCCTATGATATTAGACAGAAATACATAGATTAAAGGAGAGGAAGGGGAAATAAACTCTGAAAACTGTAAATTAGTAACTTGGGAATCCCTAGACTTGGAGAACTTCTTATTCTTTGAAGGAAGTGTCTTGACATTATAGAGTATTTGCCAAGTGCCTTAGCGTGGGTTCTTTATTCCAGTTCCCAGCAAGTAAGTCTCAGGATTAAGAATACCATCAAGGCCTGAGCCTCCTTTTAAGTCATTTGAATCTGGGACTTTTTTCCTATGGGTTTGCAGCTCTAATTTTATAATAAGAAACAAATAAAATATGCTTCACTTACCACTGTTTTCATTATTGTTCTATAGGAGTTTGATAAAGAAGTTAAAAGTTTTGTGTTTGTCCTGGAAGGCAGCAGCCAAACAAACAAAATTCAGTTACCAAAGGAGAATAAACAAATCCGTAAGTAAGATTTTTAATATTGAATCTTAACATTTGATACTTAAAACTATACTTTTAAGTCTCATACACAGGCTTTAGTTTGACTTTTTACTGGCATTGTTGACATGAAGTGATAGGATTTTTTTTTTTTAATTTAGAAAGGAACTTTATGCCAGACTTTTTAAAAAATATATATTCTGCTTTACTGTTTACTAGAAATCTAGCAGTATTTTAATGAAGATTTAGAAAATTATTTAATAGCTATTAATTATAATAGTAATGGTATTTATTGAGCACTTCCTTTGTGCCTATGACTTTCTCAGAATTTCACATTTATTAACTCTTTAATCCTCACAAGAGCTCTTTTATAAATGAGCATACTGAGATTGCTTCCTTATCAAGAAATCAGGTAGTTAAGAGTGAGCTTTAAAGTAAACTCAGGGGTTCCTAAATTTTATGAAATTAATTAATTTAGGAGTTCCTAAATTTCATAAAATTAATTAATTTTATGAAATTAATTAGAGAAAAAATTATGTAAAATACTAAAGAAGGCGTTATTCAGTGACATATCAACATACATACCTTTAGAAATATTAATATCTAATAAACATAAATATTAATATATGTTCTAACAAAAGCCCAAAGAGTAGATTTCAATTCTTATTTACTTCAGCAATTAGGATCACCATTTTAAAGCAAAAGGAACCCTGAGAAATCATCTAAATTTAGGATCAAAAGCCCAGTTATTGGCAGAACTGGGGTTAAATATCAAGGCTCTGCCACCAAATAAGGCTTTGAGTAAATCCACATAATTTAAGAAATATAATTTTTCAAAAATTTTAATCATATTTTTTATCGACTTTGTCATATGCTTTAACTACAGATTTTAGGCAATTTAGCAAAATATAAATAGCTAGTTATTTTTTACATTCATTATTTACTTATTTCTTCACTGAGAACAATTATTGAATACTACCTGAGTAACAGGTACTATAAAAAGGCCTGTTCTTGGTACCTGATTTTCTCATTTTAATTCAATTTCCTAAACTTCCAAAGGATCTGAGCTTTATCTACTATTTCAAGCTACTACATGGATATTTTAGATTTCTGAGATATAAACCAAAGCATAAAAATTATAGATGGAAGATGATTAATTTTAAAATGGTCTGCCAGTATTTCTTTCTAAAATAAAATGAAAAACAGAACCTCAAAGAAAAGGAATAATCATTGTTAAAATAATTTTTTATTAATTTGCTACAATTATAAAATCATGATTTCCTCATAGTTCCTAGTTTTTGGGTTTTTTTTTAATAGAAGAGTTTTTTTCATTTCCACAAAAATGTATATCTATAAATGAAGTGAACAAAGGTGACCCAGGGAAACATGTCTGAAACTGTAGGTTATTCTTCTTACAGGAGACATGGTTCATGTTTTTTAAGGATATTGCCTTTGTAAGATAGATACATTTTATTTGCAGAATCATGATTTTTTCTAAACTGGCGTTCTTTTTTTTTTTTTCTTTTCTTGGACTGTAAGTCCATGTAATGTCCTCAGCATCTAAGTACATGATCATGTCATTGACAAAATCAAATCACTTCTAGTAACCTTTCTCAGTTCTCTCTGAAAAATATTTCTCCTCTACGAAAGGCTCATTGACTAAAGACAAGCTCCCCTTTTCTACTTTCATCTAAGATTTTTTTTTTAAGAAATAAGAAATAATTAATGTCTTATAATTGCTTTTTAAACGGAAAGATGATAGTTTTAATTGGAAGAAACAGAATAATCCTTTAATGTATTTCTTGTACAATGCCCCGTAATTAAAAATTAATCTAGCTCTCTGTAGCATGTGCAGCACTGTAACAAATGAAACAGTTAATATAGTCTACCTGATACTAGCGCCTTTAAGATTAATTATTTGTAATTTTTGATAACAGAACTTTATAGTTATTTTTGCATGTATAAAATGACCTATGTGAAGTTGTTCTGGTTAAATTTAAATTAATGGCATGCCTTGAATAGAGAATTGGCTTTCAATTAACATTTCTAAAGTTAGTCCAGTTCCCATTTTATATTTCTATTTTAAGAATAAACATCCACTTTATTTATGCAAACTTGACATTAGGTACCCCATATGTGTTTCCTAGTATATTAGAAACCTATGAAGAAGTTTAGTAATGAAATTAAGTAGTAATTTATTTAAATTTATCACTTTAAATAGTAATATTTCTGAATTACATTTGAGCATCTCTTAATATGTCAAAGGTTTTTTTTGTTTGTTTACTCAGCATCTTATCAAATAAAGGAAAGTGATATTGATTATTAGATTGTGCATTTCTCTCATGCAGGAATCTTGCATCATCTATTGTACCCCTAACTTAGTGTATTGTATATAGTTGGTGTTTAATAAATTTGCTCAATTTGCCACATTAAGAAACTATAATAATTTAGGTTATAATTTCTAATTATAACCAGCTAGCCTTGATAGTGAGACTTGAGTAAATCATTAGCCAGATAAATAAATAAATCCATGCCTGGAACGTGATATACAGAGTTGCTTGTATGAAAAGCAGCTCTGTTGCATGTAAACATCAATCGTTTAGATGGTATGCTTTGGGACTTTCTGTTTGAGGCTTATCTTTGAAGTCATTTTTTTCTCTGTCTGTGATATCTGAATCCAATTATATGTCTCTCAGGATCAGTATCCCTGAAGCCTTATGTTGATCTAAGTTTCAGCTCTAGAGGATGAGGTCATCTTTATGAGGTTACCCCCAGGTCTCCCCCTTCCCCCACTTCAGCTTCGACCTAACCACTCTACTGATAGTGCTATTGTCAAAGTCACTAGTCATCTCTGTATTCCCAAATTCAGTGGCCAGTTCTCTGCCCTCATCTTGCTTGACATTTCAGCATTTCACAAGGTTAACACTCTCCTCCTTGATATTTCTTCATTCATCTTCCAGGATGCCCACACTCCTAGTTTTCTTTCTATTTCACTGATTTTCTTTCTTAGTTTCCTTTCATAGTTCTTCCTGTTCTCCTCAGCTCAACTTCGTTCTTGACCTCTGTCTATGTTTACTCTCTTGGTTATCAGCTCTAGTCTCTTGGCTTTAAATACCATCTCTGTCATACTCTAGCTTATATGTCCAACTCAGACTTCTCTCCCAAACTCCAGACTTGTATTTTCAGTTGCTTACTTGACATTTCAACTTTGACAGCTTTAGCCTAGAAATTCCTCCTCCTCCTGCAGACAGCTCCATCTCAGTTGTTAGCAATTTGTCTGCAATTGCTCAAATCAAAAACTCTTAAATCAGTGTGATTTTCCTTTTTATTTTATCTATCAGAAGATCTTGTTGGTTCTATATTTAAATTAGATTCTGACTACTACTTTTCACCACTTCCATTGCTACCACTCTGGTCCAAGCCACCATATCTCATGCTTGGAATGTTGCAGTAGTCTTTTAACCGGCTCCCCTGTTTCTGACTTGCCTCCCATTGTCAATTTAGAGGCTAGAGCAATATTTTTAAATGTAAGGCACTACTCTGCTGAAAATGCTCCATTGCTGTCTGAGTGAAAACCAATGATCTCTAGGACTCAGCAGTATCTGATGCCCTCTTAACTTTCTGACCTTATCTTCTATTACTCTTTCCTTTATTCACTGTGCTGCAATCATACAGCTCTTCTTGCTGTTTTTAAACACAGTCTGGTACTGTATCATCTTAGCATCTGTGCACAAGCTATACCCTCTATCTAGAGCTCGTTTTTCCCAAACAGCTACATGGTTCACATTCTCCCCTTCAGGCCTTTACTAAAATGCCATCTTTTCAACGAGGGCCCATGGCGACCTGTGCTTTAGATCCTTTCCACACTTTTGTTCCCTTTTGCCATATTCTTCTTTTTCTAATAGTTCATATCACCATTTATTCATTATGTATGTTTTTTTTAATTGTTTTTCTCACCATCACCAGAAAATAAGTTCCATTACCACAGAAATTTAGTCTATTTTGTTCACCTAGAACAGTGCCTACCATATAGTCGACACCCAGTAAATTTTTGTTGAATAAATTAATGAATATATGAGTGGCTTCTCATTGATTTTAGGATAATCTATAATCTTTACATGGCCTTCAAGGCCCCAGATGATTGAGTTTCTAGTTATTTGCCAGACTTACCTCCTGCTGCTTTTCCCCTTCTGTCTCTCCTACCTGCCCTTTAGGCCTTTAAATTCACCTAATCTGCTATGGCCTTCTTCACCACATGATGGAGTATTCCCTCTCCCTGTAAAATTTGTTCCTCTCTCCTACTCCCATCTTCCTTGCTCAGTCAACCCTTGCCTATTCTTACCAGCTGAATCCCAATGTTTTTTCTTCAAGAAAACCTTCACTCATCATCCTCTTCCCTCCAAGGATGTAAGATTATCTGCTTTCATAGCACCCTGGCTGCCTTCTTCATGGAACTAGAATATAAAGTCCAAGAGAGTAGAGACCATGTTTGTCTTACTCACTGTAAAAACTTCAGCACTGAATCTTGCATGTAGTAGATGCTCAGTAAATCTTTATTGAATAATAGATTTACTCTAATCTATATGAATAATCCTGTGAGTTGCACATCTAAATTATGAACCCAGTTTACACATGAGAAGTCAAAGGGCCCAAAAGGCCTTTGCCCAAGGGATTTAGAATAACCCATAATGAAGGCATAACCATTTCCTGTCTCCTGTGTTGTGGTGGAAAAGGTGAACTGTAGTGTGCTCTTTGTGCCAGGGCTGCAATAAGAACCAGGAAATAACTTCAGTCATGATTTATCAGGACACTTGTAAATGATGACTATATTGTGATCTAGTCCCAACTCTTTGGAAAATATAACACTTGTACAATGTACGTGGGGTGTACAACTATCATTTTCTGTAATGAAATAACTGTAAAACTACTGTTTAAACATCTAATGGTGTTTTACCAGTTAAACGTGTTTTAAAATATTCAAAAAATAAAAAGGATCAGACCCCTTAAAAATAAAGGTAGTTTGTCTCAGGCAGAAAAACCAGATTATAAAACTGCAGAAACCTGCATATTTCAGTAAAAATACCATTTATGAATTTTATGAATTCAGTGGGCATTTTTTGGCTAACAGTAGTTCCACATTCAGCAGTACTTACAGTGATTTTAAATATAATGTAGACATGAAGAGTCAGTTTAAATTGGCTAGGCCACTGGAAAAATATTTCTATAGAGTTTATTTAGCTTTTCTGACACACAGGATCAGTGTATGTCAAAAGTTATTAAAGTACTTTTTTCTTTGTCAGGTTATCACCATATGGTATTGTCATACTTCTTTTAATCTTAGAAATGAAGCCTTTTGGAAACCAGGGCTTCTTTATGTGAGAAGGTTAAATTATAAAGGTTTCTTTTTTGAGGGCAAATGTCTTTCATATCTAAAAATGTTCATACAGAAATGCCCTATATATGTAGCTCTCTGTGTTCAAACAGAACAGTACTGATTCAGTGAGATTTGTGACATAAATTAGGGACCTTTTGTTAACTGATTTTATTTATCCTAGTGCTCTCTCGGCTCTATTTACAGAGGTCATTGTATAATGGAAAAATACTATGGGACCAATTAATGAAAGATGCAAGAGAGAGATTAGCAATGGTTTATTTAAGTTGGCCTCATTTTGGTACCTTACTTTGGTTTTGTAGTACAAGACCCTGATTGACTCACTGGCTTTTTCCATAAATGTGGTAGAATCTGATTCCTAGAGACTTTTCTAAGGTCAGAGCCTGTTATTCTCTATTTTCATTATATTGCTCTCTGGAGCAGTTTATAAGCTTAGTGCTTCAAGCAAAAGTTATTCTTGTATGTTTTATTTAAAAATATTAAGCATATTTGATCAAATATGTTTATTGTTTAGAATCTAAATTTCAGGTATAATATAGGAGCTGTTTAACTCATTCAAGAATGTTGTGAAAGTTTACCAAAGAAATTATAAATCAGAAGGTCTTCATGTAGACTATTCAAACATGTATTATTACTTTAAAATACTTAAATTTATTAAACTTGCTAAGTTGGAATAAATCGAAAATAACATGCATTTTAGACCAGTTGCTTTCTTTTATCCATGTGTTGGCTTCTACTATTATAATTATAGGAGAGGTTCATAGATAAATCAGGACATCTCCATTTCCTACCCAAAGTCCTATGTCAGGAAAAAAGTTTCTGAAAAAAGCATGTTTTGGGAGGAAATGATACTAAAACATCTATTAAGAACATCATAATTGAGAGATCAAGCAAAATTCTAAAACCTTGGAGGAAAGGGATTAAGTAAATGGGTCTGAAGAAGTAATACAAAATCTATTTTTGAAGCATTTGTAGACTTCACCTATCAAAAGTGCCATAGGGATTGGTTTTTCTCCAAATATTTTTAATCCAGATGAAACTGGTGATGGAGAATAAAAATTATTAGTTCTTAATATGTGAGCATTAACTTAATTGAAAGTGTGTTAAATTAGCAAAAGGTAGTATAAATGAAAATATGTTCCTCCATCCGTCTCAATGTGGACACCGTACTTAAAACCATATAAACTAGATATGGCTCATGAAACCTTCAGTTGTAGTTGTTATAATTAGAATTGTTTTTCTTGATCTGTTGAGTTTTTTTTATTAAGTTGTTTAGTATAGTTAAAACTGTCAGTGAATAAAAAGAATTGCCACATGCTTTTATGGCCTCCTTGATGGGAATCAGTAGTTCAATTTTATGTGTCTCTATTGAATGCAGTTCTATGTGTACATTTTCTCACAACCTAATAAAAATAGTAAATAAAAAATTTTTTAAATTTTTATAAAAATTTTACCAAGCCCACAGATGGGATTTTAAAAGGCAACATTTATTGTTAGAGTTTGATTTGATTTTCATCAATTTTTTGCTTTTATAATGAGGTTATAACTCATGGTAGTGCTATTACAGTTCTGTATATTTTTGAAATGCTAACAGCTTAAGCTTGTCAATGGTATGTGATTGTCTTTTTTTATATGCACATATAAATGGTTTGGACATATGAATGCATATTTTCCCCCTCTCATTCTAGTTGGACTGATCCAGAGGTTTCTTGTACTTCAGATTTACGTACCCCTGGGACAAGACTTCTCCACTGAATTGCTGTAAGATATATATAACTTCTTTCAATGGTTTATGTGAATTATACGTTTGATCAATTGAAGCAATATGAACATTATTAATTATGAGTGGCAGTTTTTGCATTAAAGAGCAATGACTTACCAATTTGACATGAAGTAATTAAACTAATTTAATCGTATTTCTTAGATATCACTGTAGTCTACAGGAAGGAAGCAAATTTCATCTGTTTAAGAAAATATCAAAGGGTTGTGAATTTTGCAGTAAACAGCCCATAGCTTAAAGAAATAAATAATCCAAAACTTTGAGATATTGGTTCAAATGAGGGGTGATGTTATGTTTTGTACTATCTGCTATTCAAAACTATATTTGGTTTAAAATTGGTTGAAATACCTCATTTTAATGTTGTTTAGTTTAGAAATATTGGTCCTTTCTGTTTATATAGATGGCTTAGAATATATTTGTTTTAAATGAACAGATTGATTAGCAATAATGAGAATATACAACTTTTACTCAGTTATACTATTTGTTGTCTGAGATGATTCTGAGAATGGAGACATTTGATTTTTATACTCATAGATAATTGAATATTGTTTAAGATTTAATTAACAAATATATATACTTTCGCTACAACATTACATTAAGGTATGCTATTTTCTAATTTTTCTTTGTAATTAATAGCTGTCCAGGCAGGGTTAAGCTTATATTCTTATTTTCCCTGCTGACATAAATGACTTTCCCTATCAATGAAAGTAATTTTGTACTAGTTACAATGATATAAACTAAAAGAAAGGAAGAGCTTCATTCATAAAATGGGAATAACATAAATTTGTTATATTATTTAAATTTATTCATTTATCTGTGTATTTGAACTAGAATATTAACAATTTGTACATATGTTGGTAAAACATAAATTTTAATAATGTACTATCTTGTTTTCTTGAGCAATAAAGCATAAAGGGAACAATTTATACCTTTGTTTTGTTCAACTTTAAACCAGCAAACTTCTAAGATTTCCTATTATTGGCAGCCTTGGTCACCAAGATTCTTTAAAATAGTCCTTATAGTAATAGGACCAAAATATTATTTGATGCTGTCGTGTATCTTTTTCTGGTTCTGCAGAAAATGCATTTTCAAGACTCTAAAGACATTCAAATGTACAGAGAGTACTATATAAAACTTTATTTTCAATGTAAGGGAAATGGTTTCGTACCAAATGGAGGAAGGCGAATTATATTTTATTTTTAAGCTTGTTAAGTTCCTTACATAGAAATCCAGTTCAGCCTCTCTTAGTCTCCTGATCTCTACCACTTATACCTTGAGATTCTTCAGAAGCAGTGATGGGGGTGCCAGTGGGTTGCCTTTTGATCAAAGCTGTGTAAGACGCTTGGCTGAACCTTTTGCTGATGAGCATTCTTTTTCTATGCAAAATTAAGCTTTATTTGTGCCCCCAGACACTGAGCTTTTCACTCTAGCCTAAGCAATATACTGTTTTAACTAATTTAATGATAATTAAAGCTTTAATTACTGAGAAATTGATAGATATCTTAGGTTTAACTTAATCTTAGCAAGAGAGCAGCTGTTATAAGTAAGCCTGACTACTCCTTTGTTACCCTGCTATTGATGCTGTTGGCCTATCTAAGGATGGGAAAGTATTTTCAGGAGTGATGGAATTAATGGTTAGATTTTGAATTCAGTTAACTGTAATCATAGCTTCTCTTGTTCTCATATCCACATGGACAAACATTTGGATTTTCCAAATGGTTTTAGTTTTATAGTTTTAGCAAGATAAATATCTTTAGACAAAAAGTCAAAATTATATTTTATAGACAAAAGACATTCTCTGTCCTGACATGTGAATTTATCAGATTATAAGAAAATATATTAACTCTGCATTTGAATTTATTGCTAATAGATAATTAAAATATTTTGCTGTTTTAGGAAGTAATAATAGAGACCGTGTTTTTACAAGGAAGAAAGTAGAATAACAAATATAGATTGTCTTTCTAACTATGGCTCTTTTTCCTTTTTCTTAAATAAAACGGCTTTCTTTCACTACTCTTAGTGTTTTACTATGTATCTAACAGCATAACTTCAGGCTATTTGAAATATTACATTTCTCTCACAAGCTTGAAAAGTCACACAGAAAGATATCTGGCTTCTGAAATTTTCCATTGTCAGAGTGGAAAAGGCATTTTATTTTCCAAAGATATGTTCACACATCAAGAGGTTTTCCTAAGTGGAGTCTGCCAGCTGGTTTATGAATTTAATAATACTTTCTTCAACATCTTCCTGTGTCTCTCATATCCATTGGATGGTTATACTGCTCAGAGGGAGATCATATATCTGTGGGTTAGTGGTTGCCTTGGAACCAATAACAGCTGACTAAAGAATCACTCATTCAGGAAGTCAACAAATTATTGAATTCCTATTATTATTAGGAATGGAGGAGTCAATATACCTTGAATCATTGAATTCCTATTATTATTAGGAATGGAGGAGTCAATATACCTTGAATCTGTACACTTCTTACCATCATTGCTACTGTCTTAGTCCCAAACCACCAACATCACATTTTCCTTGATCTACTGTTAGAGCCTCCCAGTGGACTTACCAGATTCTTTCTTGTCCTTTTCTGATCTAGCCTCCACATTGCAGCTAGAGTGATCTTTCTAAGAAAAGCAACTGAAATTACCATTGTACCAAACGAAGGTAAACTCCCAAATCCTTGATTCTCCTATGCGCTCTGGTCTCTCACCTCTCCCATCTCTTCTCATACCATTCTGCCCTGTGCTCACCATTTGTCAGCCACACTGGCTCCTTTCCAGCCATATAGTCTTTCCTTTCCTCACATACCAGGTAAGGTCTCTTCCTAGGTTTCTATGCACAAGTGGTTTATACCCCTATTTCTTTGCCTTACCAACTCCTACTCAGCTTTCTCATCGTAGCTTGTGTCCCTTCTTCAGAGAGGCCTTCTTTGATTTCCCTCAACTAAATGAGTTTCAGATGCTCTTTTATAATGTGCTCTTTTCCTTCATTACAACGATACCAGTTTATAATTATATATTTACTTGATCACCTGTCTTTTGGGGTAGACTTTGACTTCCACGAGGACAGGAACCCTTTCTGTCTACCCAGCATAGTATCCCAGCACCTAACAATGCCAGGCACAAAAGCTCTGAGATCCAGATGAATGGGCAGGAGTAGACTAATGAACTGAAATGAATAAACAAGACATAGCCTCTGTTCTCATATAATTTACCCTGGGGTGAAAGATCAATAAATACATCTTGATAAATGTTTTGATGACATAAGAGCAAGATCTATGGGGAACATGTCAAGTATAACGTAGAAGTAAGTGCATAGGCTTAGAACTGGACAGATCCAGTGTCAAATCCTGTTTTTACCTCTGTGGCACTTTGGGCAAAATTACCTAACTCACCTCACATATGAGATGAGAATGGTAATACCTGTCTTACAGGTGTGTCATAAGAATTCAATGAGAATTAACATAAAGTATAATGCTAACATTTACTAAGCACTTACTGTATACCGACATTGATCTAAACACTTTGTTTTAGCTCAATTAATCCTTGAAACAAGTATGGTAATCATAATTATTGCCTGTTTTACCATTGAGGAAACTGAAGTCCAGAAAGGTTAAGGAATTTGCCAGTGATTGCAGTCCTACTAACTCTTAAAGCCAGGATTCAAACTTGTGGTCTAAATCTAGAACCTGTGCTCTCTGCATTTGAATTTATTGCTAATAGATAATTAAAATATTTTGCTGTTTTAGGAAGTAATAATAGAGACCGTGTTTTTACAAGGAAGAAAGTAGAATAACAAATATAGATTGTCTTTCTAACTATGGCTCTTTTTCCTTTTTCTTAAATAAAACGGCTTTCTTTCACTACTCTTAGTGTTTTACTATGTATCTAACAGCATAACTTCAGGCTATTTGAAATATTACATTTCTCTCACAAGCTTGAAAAGTCACACAGAAAGATATCTGGCTTCTGAAATTTTCCATTGTCAGAGTGGAAAAGGCATTTTATTTTCCAAAGATATGTTCACACATCAAGAGGTTTTCCTAAGTGGAGTCTGCCAGCTGGTTTATGAATTTAATAATACTTTCTTCAACATCTTCCTGTGTCTCTCATATCCATTGGATGGTTATACTGCTCAGAGGGAGATCATATATCTGTGGGTTAGTGGGTTGCCTTGGAACAATAACAGCTGACTAAAGAATCACTCATTCAGGAAGTCAACAAATTATTGAATTCCTATTATTATTAGGAATGGAGGAGTCAATATACCTTGAATCATTGAATTCCTATTATTATTAGGAATGGAGGAGTCAATATACCTTGAATCTGTACACTTCTTACCATCATTGCTACTGTCTTAGTCCCAAACCACCAACATCACATTTTCCTTGATCTACTGTTAGAGCCTCCCAGTGGACTTACCAGATTCTTTCTTGTCCTTTTCTGATCTAGCCTCCACATTGCAGCTAGAGTGATCTTTCTAAAAAAAGCAACTGAAATTACCATTGTACCAAACGAAGGTAAACTCCCAAATCCTTGATTCTCCTATGCGCTCTGGTCTCTCACCTCTCCCATCTCTTCTCATACCATTCTGCCCTGTGCTCACCATTTGTCAGCCACACTGGCTCCTTTCCAGCCATATAGTCTTTCCTTTCCTCACATACCAGGTAAGGTCTCTTCCTAGGTTTCTATGCACAAGTGGTTTATACCCCCATTTCTTTGCCTTACCAACTCCTACTCAGCTTTCTCATCGTAGCTTGTGTCCCTTCTTCAGAGAGGCCTTCTTTGATTTCCCTCAACTAAATGAGTTTCAGATGCTCTTTTATAATGTGCTCTTTTCCTTCATTACAACGATACCAGTTTATAATTATATATTTACTTGATCACCTGTCTTTTGGGGTAGACTTTGACTTCCACGAGGACAGGAACCCTTTCTGTCTACCCAGCATAGTATCCCAGCACCTAACAATGCCAGGCAC